ATGGTGCCTGAAATGCAAACATCCAGCAATTGAACTCTTGCTTTCTTGCTGTCCCAAGAGACATGATGCTGAAGATGTTAGGATCTAAACACACTGTCAGTGGGTTTTGTTATGGTTATTAATTGTATAAGGAAAAAGAACCAATCATATATAGTTGCAGAGTGTTTCCCAGGCAACAATTTGAGGGGCAATTTTTAATCTGCAGTAACCAATAAATCTTTGGTCATAAATAGCAGATTTTGGGATCAAAGCCTATTTTTAGTCCCTAGCACAGTATTAACTATAAGATGGCCCTCTGATTTCTTATACTTTCTGCCTCACATCATCAGGTCAACTATTTCTTCCTCTTTAAGACTCAGCTTCAGAATGCCCACTCTTTAAAGTCTACTTCCCTATCTTAATCCACATGGAGAGAAAAGGTCATTCCTTTCTCTTCCTGTCTTGTTTATTACTCTACCATACATTTTATAATATCATACCATATTAATTGTTTGTCTTTCTAGAAAGATACCAATAAATAGAATCACAAAGATAAAAGCTCTGTTATATATTTTTATATTCTTAGAGCCAACCACAAGAAGCTCAATGCTATTGAATGAGTTCTTGTGAAAATGTTTTCAGAATACAGACAAGCTTTTAGATAGCTGCCCTAGGATCCTTTGAGCATGCTGGTAACAACAAGCTGCTCAGAAGACAGAATTATTGTTTAACACTGACGTCTAGTTTGTGTTTTTTTACTTTATCTGAATATAAAACAGATGGAAAGCTGGAGATATTATATACACTTCAACCCCGACCCCTCAGAACAGGGTTATGAAAATTGCATCAGTCTAGCTATCTTGAAATTTTTCTCCTCTCGTGGCCATTCCACAGCTGCTAACACATTTTTAGCTTTGTTAAAAATTTCTCTAACTGATAAAATTTATTGGGCCCTTTTCTCAATTACCAATCATCATTGCTACCCCCAATGCCAACATTTTATCTCCTCTCCTTTTCCTTCAATGACAGGAAAGATGTGCTTCAACTGTTCCCCTACCTACAAGCAGTCCCCGTGATTCTGGGCATACTTAATATATAGTCTCTTTGAAGTCATAGGTGGACTTCTTGTAGTCGGACAACTTGTATATCAGGTTGTGCTAACAATGGGCCTTCACAAATATTTTCATGTTTTGCATACTATATCTCCCCAAAGATAAGCCATCTTTTTTTTAAGATTTATTTATTTATGCATACAAGAACTGGGTATAGGCCAGAGGGGTGGGAGGTGGGAGGATTCACCAGAGACAGAGAACAGGCAGACTGACTGAAATACACTGCTGAGGGGAACAGTGGGCGAGACAGGAGAGGTCTGCCGTGACATGTGGGTAGCTCCTTGGCCAGCCGGGGATCGAACTCGTGCTGCAGAGGCTGCAGATAGCTTCAGATAGCGTCACAGTGCTGTGCTTAACTTGTGCCACCGGGGAGGCCCAAGCCATCTTAAGAGTACTATTTCTGGGCCTCCCTGGTGGCGCAAGGGGTTAAGCACCACACTAGGGAGCAATCCATAGCTTCTGCAGCACAAGTTCGATCCCTGGCCAACCAGGGAGCAACCCACATGGTGCAGCAGACCTCTCCTGACTCACCCACTGCTCCCCAAAGCAGTGTACTTTGGTCAATCTGCCTGTTCTGTTACCTACTCTATCTCTGGTAAATCCTCTCACCCCCACATCTCTGGCCTATACCCCAGATCTTGTATGCATAAATAAACAAATCTTTAAAAAAATACGATTTCTGCATGTGTTAAATAAAACTATGCAATATAGTTATAATATATAGAAGAACTATTAAATATTCATATTCATTCAGAATTTATCTCACTGGATTTTATTAGTCATTAACATAAGAAATACTATTAAGATACTGAATTTTAATGAAAACCCCCTTTCCTCCTACCATCATACCTACAAAGAGAAAGGATTTACAAAGTAGAAATTCCTTCCAAAGTTTTCATCTATCGCACTGTCTTCTTTCCTCTTGAGTCAAAGGACTAACTGTGTAGTGGAAAATAGCAAATTTCAGTTTAGTTGTGGAGAATTTCCTCAGACAGAAGAGAGTACAATGTGCCCTGAATTGCAACAATTTTATAAACATGGGAATTGAATTCATAAGAGAGTAAATATAATTTTGCAATATTTATAGAGAAATAAAATCCAAAACAAACAGTTCATTTTTGAATGCAGTGAATATATTGCCAAAACTGAAATGACTTTTTGTAGCATCTCAAGAACATAGAAGAATCATTACTGAACTGGAAAAGTAAGAAATTATTCTTGGAAAGGAAGAAAAAGATCTCAGCTACTCTCCCATTATGAGTCCAATTTTATATGCCCTTTTAGGGGGATTGTGCTGCCTAACTTGAATTTATTCAACCTTTTGATGGACTTGAATTTTCTCCTGAGCTGTTTTAAACATTTCCTTTCATCCTTAAGTAGTCATGCAAGGTAGAAGGACCACTTGTAACTTTATCCCGTTTTACTGATGGGAAAAGTTAAGGCATAAATACTTTAAGTGGCCACTTTCTTAGCTTAGACTAATGCTCTTTTCACTCAAGTACTCTGCCTTTCTATCATTTAACTGCAGAAATGTATTTGACAAGGGCCTCCCCTGTGGCGCAGCAGTTGAGCGCTGGGTTGCGAAGCTGCCTGCAGCCTCTGCAGCCGGTTCAATCCCCGGCTGCTCCCCGGCCACCGGAGGAGGGTCCCACAAGGCGCGCAGACCTCTCCTGCCGCCCGCTGCTCCCCTCAGCAGTGTACTTTGGTCCTTCTGCCTGCTCTGCTCCCCGCTCTGGCTCTGGTGAATTCTCTCACCCTCCCGCGCTTCTGACTGTACCCAGTGCATGTATAAACCAAACAAACAAACAAATAATAAATAAATAAATAAGACATGCCTCTAGAAAATTAAAAAAAAATAAATAAATAAAAAAAAAAAAGAAATGTATTTGACAAGAGGTAGTCCTTAGTAACTAATATAAGGAATTAAAGTATTCCCTTTTATATGTTAGGTAGATAAATGGATAGTGTTTAAAAGGATGTTTCTTTTTTTTTTAAATGTTACAATTTTTTTTAAAGATTTATTTATTTATGCATACAAGAGCTGGGGTGCAGGCCAGAGTGGGGAGGAGAACAGGCAGACTGACAAAATACGCTGCTGAGGGGAGCAGCAGGCGAGTCAGGAGAGGTCTGCTGTGCCATGTGCATTGCTCCATGGCCAGCTGGGGATTGAACTCGTGCTGCAGAGGCTGTGGATTGCTTCATAGTGCGGTGCTTAAAACCTTGCGCCACCAGGGAGGCACTAAATGGATGTTTCTTAAACTCAAATTCAGTATGTGAAAGTAGACAACTATAAGTAAACATAAAATAGTAGCATTTTTTTCCTCTCAAATGTTTAAGCTTCAGTGAGCCAAAATCCCATCACGAACACTAGTGAAACAGTTTGAAGAGATTAAAGACAGATCACCAATGGAGTAGATCTGCAGGCTAAACACATATAGGGAAAAAGTCTGGTTCACCATGTGGACATGCATTTCACATCTGATTGAGTAGTTAACCAAATTATACAGGTATTTGGCACTTTCTTTTAGACAACACTTGGTCACCTGCTTACAATATTGCTTTCTTTCCAGTTAAAAACAGAGTGATTTGATTAACTTTCAGTTTGGGAGCAAATGTTGCAACAAGGCAGTCAGACTTCTGGTGGTTTGAGTGGACACTGTCAGAGGAAAGGAGAAAGCTGTTGGCAAAGATGGAATCACTCAGTGAGAACCGGTGCATTAGCTTTCGAGTAACGTAACAGAAGATGATGCAGGAGAAGAAATAGATAGCTGAGGACTGTTTGTGAGTGGCTAAGAAAACCAGTCAAGGTGAGTGTTAACAAAGGTTGTGATTATCTAACTCTATCACCATATAGGTCAGTACTATGGGTCATCTTTAAAAAGGCTTTATAGAAGTCACTGAGAAATTACCTCTGGAATATATTTGTACCATTAAAATGGATATTCCTATTTATAAATCATCTTTAGAAAAGAAGTACACTCATCCCACTCTTTAACAAGGGGGAAATTTCAGGTAAAATAATAACAGAATTTGTGACCTCCCTAAGAAAAATAATAAAACCTAATTGTAATTTTTGTCCTTGGATTAAGGATCCATAAAAAATGGTCTTATTTCTTTTAAAGTATTACACACAGAGTAGTATGAGACAAATAGACCAGAAAGATGACTTGAGGGCCTCCCTTGGTGGCGCAGGTGGTTGAACACAGCGCTGTGAAGCTGTATGCGGCTTCAGCTACATCGTTTTAATCCCAGCTGGCCGGCGAGATACCCACATGGCACAGCAGACCGCTCGTGTCTCGCCCACCACTCCCCTCAGCAGTGTATTTCAGTCAGCCTGCCTGTTCTGTTCCCCACTCTGTCTCTGGTGAATCCTCTCACCCTCCCGCACATCTGGCCTGTACCCCGGTTCTTGTATGAATGAATAAATATTAAAAAAAATAAAATAGAAAGATGACTTGAAATCAAATTCAATATTATTCATATTTGTTTTTAGAGATTTCTTAATATAATTATATACCCTTAAATTTTAATGTGTCAAAGTTAAATGGCGACAATTTTGATTTTCCCTATTAAATTAACTATTAGTTCTATTATATATCCTTTTTCTTTACTTGTGGATGACTCTGGGATTCCTTCCAAAGAATAGTCTGCTAATAAACTATGCTTATTCATTTTTTTCTTAAATGTCACTTTTTAAATGTTTATCTTGGTCTAATGCATTTTAATGTTGTTCAGTTAAAAAGCCTAAATATAAAAGAGTAAAAATCATTTTTAACTGACAACCATGTCTTGTTTCTCATAGTCGTTATTTTTGAGAAGTCTAATATCTAGAACAAGTGATCTTAAAAGTACACCCCTATCAAAGAGCTTAACAGTTGACAGATGTATTTTTATTGTTGTTTCTCTCACCTTCACAGACCAACTTCTGCTTTTTCTGGTACCAGGGTGATTTACTAAAGAAAACGGAAAAGAATCAAAATTTTGTATATGTTGAAAATCAGAAAGAAATCAAAACTCCCATATTTAATCCCTGGCATCACTTTGCTGTAATTTCATGCTATGCCAGATGAGATAGACAGCATTATAGATTAAAGATTAAGACACAGAGACATGAAAATGTGCCTAGTTACTCTTATGTTGCTTGTGTAGATGTATTTTCTGTCACCGGGCATTAAAATAGTATCATCAGTCACTTTAGAGTATTCCTTCCAGCAATCTATGCCTTACAGAAGATTAATGGTAAAGATGATCATGCCAAGATGAATATCATTCGAGATTGTCACATGCACAGTTCCCTTTGGAAATGCAAAGATTTTTGGGGGTGACTAGCAAACACTTGATAATTGAGTGCTAGTAAAATGAACTTCTGTATTCACAAAAGATTAACAGGTAAAATCACAGGTGTTTTTACATACACACTGTTACTTTTTTAAACAACTGCTGCTTTGGGCCTCCTGGTGGCATAAGGGGTTAAGCACAGCACTGTAAAGCTGTCCGCAGCCTCTGCAGCATGAGTTTGATCCCAGGCCTTCCAGGGAGCTACCCACATGGCACAGCAGACCTCTCGTATCTCGCCCACTGCTCCCCTCAGCAGTGTATTTCAGTTAATCTGCCTGTTCTGCTCCCTGCTCTGTCTCTGGTGAATCCTCTCACCCCCACACCTCTGGCCTGCACCCCAGCTCTTTTATGCATAAATAAATAAATCTTTAAAAAAATTGCTGCTTCTATGTGTTGTTATTTAGGTATGATTGACTAACAGACATATAACATTGTATAAATGGATGAACAATGAGTTGGTTTGATGTATTTTTATATTGAAAGATGCAGTATCCTAAACAGATGATTAGTACTGTCATGATGTTCCCTCTAGCAAACAAAGAAATCTGGTGGTTGGAGTGAATATGTGTGTATTTATGTAAATATATATGCATGTGTGTTTAAGGTCAGATAGAAGTAAACCTCAAGGTTGAGTGGCTCACCTAGGAAGAAATTCCATGTATTGTAGTATGTGTTTTTTCTTCTTGTTTGGTCTGTTCAGAGATAATGACTTTTGTTTTTGGTGAGAGTGGTCACACTGTGGAAAAATAAAATCTCTGACAAATTAAGAAAAAAAAAAGTAAACCTCAAGCTGGCTATCTGGACTGTTCCTGGGTTTCCAGATAACTTTTTATCAGCAATTACAAATTTAAACACTTTTACACCAATCTTTAAACACCAATCTTTTAACACTTTTACACCAATCTTTAAACACATTTACCAATCTTTTACACAGATTGGTAATACATTTGCATGAGCAAGTGTAAGGGAGTAGGCTATGACAATGGCAGTGGATGAGTAGGACATAGTCAAGCTCATTAAAATTCAAACTCTTAAAACCCACCATGCCAGATAAATAAAATAATTAAGAGGTGCCATATCTTCTACTTTGTAAGAGCTTTCCCTTCAAATTTCTTTTTTTTTTTTTAAAGATTTTTATTTTATTTATGCATACAAGAACTGGGATATATGCCAGAGGTGTGGGGGATGAGAGGATTCACTAGACAGAGTGAGGAGCTGAAGAGGTGAATCCTCTGAAATGCGCAGCTGAGGGGAGCAATGGGTGAGATAGGAGAGGTCTGCTGAACCATGTGGGTTAGCTACCTGGGTGGGGATTAGAACCCATGCTGCAGCGGCTGATGATAGCTTGATAGCACTGAGACTTTAACTCCTGCGCCACCAGGGAGGCCACCTCCCTTTAATTTTCAACTTGTTTTGTGCTTCCTATTTTCTTTTTACATTGTTAGTAAAAAGGGGAAAAAAGGTCAATTATAATAACAATATTAACTCTTTCTGACTATATTGCCTCCATTAAAACTGGAAATTAACTAAATAAGAAGCCAACTTCCGTTTTCTTCACATCTCAAAACATAACAGCAAACCTTAATAAATGTGGGCACAGATAGTAAGAGAATTAAATACAAGGCTCTAGGGCAGAGGTTTCTAGGAATGTGCTTATAATAGAGTTTCACCTGGGATTCAATTAAATATTTAGTGAGAATAACTGAAAGAAAGGTGCTGTGCTGATAGCTGTGGGGGAGACAAAGATGAATACGACACAGTTTTTGTCCTCTAGAATGTCATGATCGATGACAGCCAACACATTTAACTTAGAGTGTGGAGTACGAGTGGGGTGGGGGAACTCTTATCTTTCTCTTTGAGTACCTATTTCTATTTGCACAATACCACTGTCCTTCCCCCCACTTTAATAGACTGTAATATCTTTTTTTCCTGCTTGAGGCCAATACACCTACACGGGCCTTTGATGCTCCTTCTTTCTCTTCTCAGAAATTATATAATAAATTAGTGGTCAACAGGATTTTTCTGTTATAGGCCAGAGAGTAAATATTCTAGGCTTTTGAAAGACATATTGTCATTGTTACAACTACTGAACAGTTGTGAAAGCAGCTGAAGACAATATGTAAACAAATGGATGTGGTCTGTGTTCCAATGCACCTTTATCTACAGACACTGATGTTTGAATTTCACAAAATGTTTATGTGTCTCATCACTTTTATTTTTTCAATAATTTTGAAATGTAACCATTATTTTTTGAGAGTCATACAAAAAGAAATAGTTGGTCCTGTTTGGCTTGTGGCCATGATTTGCTGATCTCTGATGTAAACAATTGCCATTCTTCTAAATCTTTGACCCTTCCTTTTCTACTTTCTTCTCCTTATAATCACATTAAGTAAAACATTAAAAATATTAACAATGACTCTGGACACTGATCAATGACTGGTTTCTGACAATTTAAATAATAGGTAGGCCAGTGTATCAGATGATAAACTGTAAGTAATCTCACTGTGTACAGGCTAAATGTAAGCCCATATCACACCTTCTCATCTCATTCAAAAAAACCAAACAAAGCTCCAATTGCAATGCCATCTTTATGTTGCTCTACTCTCTCCTCTTTATACCTAATATTCTTGAAAATTTTCTAATTTGCCACCCTTTATCCATTCATCAAGAAGGCATCTGCTACCACCATACCTTTAATAGCCTTTCCAGAAGAAACATTCCCATTTTTACTTTTCAGCCTCTTTTAAAATTTCCATGTTACTTGTATTAAATTCCCCTAATTATCTTCTACCTCTCTGACTTTTGATGCTTGGGATTCCTAAGAATTCTTGGCTCACTGTTTCCTATACCCCATTTTTCTTGCCCTTGACCAGCTGATCCATTTTCAGGGTCGGCTATTCACTTGAATGCAGATCACCTCCACAGGCGTGTTTCTACTCTTGACATCTCTTCAGATTCAATTTACCACTTGGATTTCCCAGAGGTATCTCAAAGTCATACATCTAACAATGAACTTGTAGTCACTTCCATTAGACATCCTTCTCTAGCATCCTATATCTAGGCCGCAACAATACTTCTTTTGCTGAAAACAATCAACTTGGCATAATCATCAATGTTTTCCTGTTCTACTCTATTCCACTTAACTGGGTACTAAAGCTCACTGACTTTTTCTCCAAAGATTTCTTAGTTCTTTCCCTCAGCAGTACTCCTATTACTGCCTTCTTTGTTCAGGTGTTTGCTCAACCAGACAATCATGCTGTTCTAGTCACTGGTCTCACTCTTTATACTACACCAGGTAAGCAGCCTAAATCACAAGTGTAATCAGGATCTCCCCTGCTAAATTTTGAAGTCATTCAAAATCAGGATACTTAGCAGGATACAATGACCTTCTACCATCTGGATTCTGCTTCCTAACTTAGTCTTCTATCAAATTCTATGTGTTTTTGTAATTCCCCAATAACAATAAGGAGCTGAACATAAAATGCAACTGTATGCTCCATGGCTTTGTAGATGCTGTTATGTCACTTAAATTCTCCTCCATTCTTCATCTGGTAATGCTTACTCATAATGATTCAGTCTCTGAATTCATAAAAGTGGGGTGATAGTCCTTGCTATTTCCATTTCATTACCAAAATTACTGAAAGCATAACTTCTCACCTCTGTTACTACCCCAGCTTAACCTTCAGTAAATAAGTAAGATATGGTTAGTCATTGCCACTCCAAGTCCATATTTGGCAAACAGACCTAGGTGAAGGGTACTTAGCCAGCATGGGAGTTAGACTGCTAGGTTCCATTTCCAACAGTGCAGCCTGCCTGCTCTATGACTTTGGGCTTATGTTTCATAAGCCTCATCCCTAAAATGGAAACTCTACTCATTTATGAAAAAACAATGAATACATACTGATTTTGAGACTCAGAAAAATGTCTTCACCTTCAAGGAACTTTCATTATAGTGGAAGTAAAGGGAGAAGGGGACAAGGAAAATAGACAAAAGAAATTAAATAAATAAAATACACAGTATATTATGTAGTATTAAGTTTAGGAAAGATAGGGAGAGATGTGATGGGATGTAGCGGTGGCTGACAAATTTTAAATAGTGGTTAGGGAAGGCTCACTGAGAAATGAGATTTGAGCAAAGACCTGAAGAGGTGAGGACCTGAGCTGTGAGAATATCTGGGGTGAAAAGAATGCCAAGAAGTGCAAGGGCAAATGATCTACAATGTTCCAGGAATAGCATTGACGTGAGAACATTGGAGTAGAGTGAGCCAGGGAGAGAATGAGGAGATCAAAGACATGGGTGAGATGGTGGGAAGCAAGAAGAGCAGTAGTCATGCTACCATTTGTAGCTGTTGCAAAAACTTTCACTTTTGCTCTGGGTAAAACAGTCTCTGGAGGACCTTGAACAAAGGATTGACTAATCAGAATAAGGTAAATAATGACTCTGGTGTTGCTGTATTGAAAACATACTGTAGGGGGCCTCCCCGGTGGCGCAGTGGTCGAGTGCTGGGTTGTGAAGCTGCCCGCAGCCTCTGCGGCGCTGGTTCGATCCCCAGCTGCTCCCCGGCCACCAGAGGAGGGTCCCACATGGCGCGCAGACCTCTCCTGCCGCCCGCTGCTCCCCTCAGCAGTATACTTCGGTCCTTCTGCCTGCTCTGCTCCCCGCTCTGGCTCTGGTGAATTCTCTCACCCTCCCGCACTTCTGACTGTACCCAGTGCTTGTATAAACAAAACAAACAAACAAACAAACAAACAAAAAAATAAAACATACCTCTATAAAAAAATATATATATATATATAAAAAAGAAAACATACTGTAGGGAGAGAAAGCGTAGAAAGAGGATGGTTAGGCGGTTGTTAGGATAATCTGGTTGAAAGATGGAGGTGGTTTGCATCAAGTGAAGATGGTAAAAATGTTTTACTCTAAATATAATTAAAAGAGTGAAAAGGATTTGCTCGATGCTGGCTAAAAGAAAAGACAAACTTGACTCCAGGATTCTCGTCTGCCCAATTATGATGTTGAAAGCACTTTGTGCTGGGAAAGCCATAAAACTTTTTCAAGAGATGGGTAAAAACAGGACTTCAGGTGAAGTAAAATTAACTTTGAGATATTTATTATATATCCAAGTGGAGATGTCAAATAGGGAGCTGACTCTATCTGATGTAAGAGTTGAAGTTCATAGAACTTTTTTTTTTTTTTAAAGATTTTATTTATTTTTGCATAGAAGAACTGGGGTATAGGTCAGGGGTGTGCGGGTGAGAGGATTTACCAAAGACAGAATCGGGAGCCGAACAGGTCAATCTACTGAAATACACTGCTGAGGGAAGTAGCGGGCAAGACAGGAGAGGTCTGCTGTGCCATGTGGGTTAGCTCCCTGGCCAGGGATCAATCTCAGGCCATCATGGTGGGCCATTGTGGTAGTAGCACTGAGACTTAACCCCTAGGTCACCAAGGCACTCATAGAAGGATTTTAAGCTAAAGATTAAAAATTTTCAGTGAATGAATGATATTCAAAGACTCTAGGCTATAGGTAGAGTATGGGAGCATTATGAGGACTGAGCCCTCAGCTTTCCAATGTTTAGTGACTGAGAAAATGAGGAAGAAGCAGAAAAGAAACTGAGAAAGGGCAGCAAATCTGGTAAAAGAAAAACCAAGAGATTGTGGTTTCCTGTAAGCAAAGTTAAAAAAAAGTACAAGGATAGTGTGCAGGAGGGAGTGATGAACACTCTCAAAAGCTACTGAAGGGTCAAGTAAGTGGAAGAGAGAATTTACAATTAGATTTAGAAACATGAGGGCACCATGACCTTGACAAGCAGTTTTGATGAAATAGTAGGGGCAAACGCATGACCTGAGAGTGTAAACAACTCTTTCAAGCAGTTTTGCTAAGTGGGCAGATAGAAATGGGGCATTAGATGGAAAATGATGGGAAAAAGAGACTTTTCCCTTTTAAAGAAAAAGTCTGTGCTTATAGACCAAGAGACGTGAAAGAGTTGAGGGACATACTAATATTACAAGAGAAAATGATATCTGCTAGAGCAATAATATCGTTAGTTAGGCCAAAGAATGAAATCTAGTACACAAGTTGAATATCAGGTCTTGCACTAGAACATAAACAGTTCATCCATAATGACAAACAGAAAATAGAGATTGAGGAGGAGCTCATATGAAAGCTCTCTTTTGTTTCTATTTTCTCGGTGATAGGAAACAGGAATATGAAGATTGGGGTGAGCTGGTGTTAAGAGATTTTTGTTTGTTTGTTTTGTTTTGTTTTTTAATAAAAATAGAAAGAATGTCTTCTAGGCAGGGAGGGACTGAGTGAATCTACAAAGTAAGATCGGATTAGTGGCTACCTTCTAGGCTGAGTTGAAATGAGTGGTTATGAATTTAAATAGAAATAAATTCATCAGCATAGTAATGCATTTATTTTCAGCCTTGTTCAGCCAGAATTAGGTGTGAAATAACATAAGGGCTCTGACATTAGGAGGGAGTCTTGGGAATGGGACAAAGTGGTGGGCATAAAAAAAGAAGCCTTCACGTTTAAGGTCACAAAGATAGTACTGACTCTTTGATACAATTCTTCACGTAGGGACTAATTCAAAGAATGCAATTAGGACAAAGACAATCTCAAAGGTGATTGTTACCATAGTATTTATGGTATCATATAATTACCAACAATATCAATGCCATACAACAAATAATTTAAAAATTATTTTATTTTTAAAAGTATTATTTATCCATTAAATCAATGCTAGCTGAACATATATTAACTAGAAAAGATAGTTATATACACTTAAAGAGGCATGGATTACTAATAATAGTATACTGCCAATCTTTTTGCCTACAAAATGAACATATACTGGTCTGTAGTTGTGTGTACATGGATTTGTACAACATAAAAAAAGAGAAATTGGTGTGAAATAGGCAGAATATTAGCTTGGACCTAAGGCTGAGGACATGTTCTATACAGCAAGAGCCATGAGCAAAAGAGAAGTGGGGGATAAATTTGAGGGAGTGATTACAAGGATGAACCATGGAATCAAGTTTATTTCAGGAAGAGGGTAAGACATGACTGGAAAATTGGTAGAATCAATTCATGGTGAGACCCAGTGGGGTTTAATAATTGCAGGAGTCAGATTACCTGAGGGAGGGAGCTGGAAAGATAAAAGGTAGTAGTTGGAGAATAGGCCCCTTCAGATTAAGTTTATGGAAAGTCTGCAATGGCTGCCTATAACAAGTTATGTGGTATGTACACAAACGGAAGGTGAAAGATACCGCTACTGGAGAAAGGAGACACAAAACTACAATAGCCAAGAATTATGAAGGTGAGATGTTAAGGAGAGTAACAGAGAGATAAAAGCCAAACCATCAGGGATGGAGAGGGTGATATGAGTTCTGTAGATGACAGTTAAAGGGAGACAATGGCAGCTTGTGTCTTCCAGGTTGTTGAGGATTAAAGAAGATATGAATAGAAAGAGTAATAATCCTTGTTGAACTCAATAAATACTTATATTGCCCTATTATATCCATAGTTCACAACTAGGTGGTCAACCCAAAGCATGTCTTACCTTATTACTGGCTGACAAAGGATGGGCTTTAGGCTGGAATAGTTGGCTTTCTGTTCAGATTCCCGAAGGAGATGGCTGCAGGAGTCTGGAGGGGTGAAATTTAGAGCACCATGAAGTAAAATTCTTATTTTACTTCTAGGGAGACTATTTTACTAGAGGATACCATTTTAGCACATAATATACAGTTAACTGGGAATTTCACAAAATTGTGACTTACCTATTTGTAGGTAAACAAATACTTTTTGCCTCTTTTAGTTAAATTTCCACCTGAGCTGCCCTACCCAACATGCTTAATAATGAATGGTGAGGGCAAGAGAATTGACCAGAGATTTTATATTAGAACACTAGCCTTGGCAGCACTGTGAGTTCTCCACATTTTGGAGGATAGTATTCTTTATAAACTCCTCATAAACCAAGGAAGTAGGTACTCTTATTGATTTATTATCATGTTATGAGAATAAGCTAGACTCCTCACTGAAAATATGAATGCTTTTTCACACTTTTTATATTTATTGAATTCCTGTATTTTTTAGCAACTTTCAAAATGCTTTCTGAGGAGTTCTATGTATCTAATTCATTTGAGTACAGATTGACATTACAGCCTAACTTGTACAGAGTTCTGAGCTGTTGCTTTTTGGAATAATCTACATATTCCTATTGTGCTATTAACCTGGAGTGGTAACCCAATATTTTATTTTTTTTAAAGATTTACGTATTTATGCATACAAGAGCTGGGGTACAGGTCAGAGATGCAGGGGGATGAGAGGATTCACCAGAGAGTGGGTAACAGAAGAGGCAGATTGACCAAAATACACTACTGGGGGGAGCAATGGGTGAGACAGGAGAGGTCTGCTGTGCCATATGGGTAGCTCCCTGGCCTGCTGGGGATCGGACTCTGGCTGCAGAGGCTGCAGATTGCTTCATAGTGGGGTGCTTAACCCTTTGAGCCACCAGGGAGGCCCCAATATTTTAAATTCTACCCAAAGAGTTTGGAAATCAGCACTTTAGTCAACCAAAATTATTACTCTGTTATGAAGTGCTACTCTTAGATTGCTCTGGGAATGCAACTTTGTTCTGCTCCCAGCTTTCTGTCTTAGCAGCAAACAGAATTAGAAAGGAATAGTTATTATCAAGATCTGCAGGGGCTTTTGAAAATGATTTCTGCCATTGCTGGATATACATGAGATTTTATAATGTGTAATTTCTCTCCATCTCCACTTGTAGTTTAGCATTTAGGGACAACAGAGAAAAATAAGTGGCAGACAAACAAACAGCAGGAGTTCCCACTATTCACTTGGGTATCAAGGGAGACTAAAAGATAGTTGAGGACACAGATATAAGGCACTATGGAAAACAATGTGTGAAGGATACTTCACTTTTTCTTAATGGGAACTTTTAGAATGTCTGTTTCAGTATTCTTTTATAGTTTATTCTGGGATGAAGAACATATGCCAGTACATCTCTCATAAGGCTCTGAGTGGAGATAAAATGACCAGGGGCATAGTTTGATCTAACAAATGTAAAACAGGAATTTCAACACTCCATGTGCAAGGTTACTTGCAAATGGTCAAAGTTCTGGTAGATTTGGAATCAAAGAGTAATAATCTAGGAAGGGACTCTAGGAGCTGTCTAGTTCTGGAAGCAGATGCTAGAATAAACTAAGAGAAGGCAAATTTGAAAGAATGATTTCTGGGGTGAAAGAAAAGGTCTTCTTCAGAAGGTGAGGGGAAGAAAGAGACAGCATGGATTAAAACTAAAAATGGAGAGAAACTGGGGCTTCCCTGGTGGCTCAAGGGGTTAAGACTCAAACTATGAGGTGATTCACAGCCAATGAAGCACGAGTTCAATCCCCAGCCAGGGAGCAACCCACATGGTGCAGCAGACCTCTCCTGACTTGCCCATTGCTCCCCTCAGCAGTGTATTTCAGACAATCCACCTGTTTTGTTCCCTGCTCTGTCTCTGGTGAATCCTCTCACCCCCACACCTCTGGCCTGCACCCCAATTCTTGTATGCATAAATAAATAAATCTTTTTTAAAAGTTTTTAAAAATGTAGAGAAACTGTGTTTGAGGAAAGCTGATCACTGTCATTTTTTTTTTCAGTGAAGAACAAATGATGCTAAAACATTACTCACCTCTAAAGTGGTGGTAGCCTCTTGAGACAGAGTGAATAAGCCCCAGGCGGAGAAATTTGGACAACAAGGAATTGGGAAGATTCTGAGCAGACTGGACCAGATTTTTCCAGTGAAAACTTACCTACATTAGTCTAAATATACAAACTTAAAAGAATTTGTGCCTTGACAGTGCTCTAGAAAGCAAGAATGAATGAAACTTCATTTCTAATCTGCAAATGGAGCATTTTTGGTTTCTTCTGTAGTCAACAGGAAACCATGTAAGCAGCAAATTAGAACAGCTAGATTTATTTGTCCCAGGAAGACAATGACTCTTAGCTAATTCTAAACTGTTGGCACTTAATCGAGTTGTTAATACCAGTCCCACTTTATTCAAAATTAAGTGTTCACTTTGTTCCCCTGGATTTTCTTTTTTCCCCACAGGGCCATATCATAATTCATCCACAGACTCATTGATATAATGAATTGCTCTCTAAAAATAAGGTCTTATTTACAATAATATTCAGAAATAACAAAGCAACATCTTCAATTCTATTTATGTCCCTATCTTTCTCTCTTTTTGTTCATACACTGCTTTTGACATTTGGAAATTTGGTATGTTTTTATTAATATCCTTGTTTTTGTCTTCAAATCATGAACTATGATCAGCAAGCTACAGGAAGATTATTTTGACATCTTGAATCCTTGCTAAGGCTAGGTTTATTTGGCCAGATCTTAGAATATTCAAGGTTTTACACATATAATGGTAATTTAATTGCTAAAGACTTACTAGGGTGACCATTCTAAAATATTAGGATTTTTCAGTGAGAAGCAACAGATTATAGGAAAACTTTGGGCAGAGTGATCATTTTTTCCTTCTGAACATTTCCAAAGTCATTCTGATGATTAGCTCTAGACATCAATACCAATGTGAAAGGACACATCATCTATACCATATAGACATCAGAAAGACTGAAAGCTCCTTTAGGTTGTCGTAACAATGAATCTTCACGGTACTCGAGAACCTGCATGACCTTGTATGGAATTTTAATGGATAGAAAAAAATACAGTCTGTATCTCCTTGTCATGTTAGATTGTATCATATTTCCCACTGCTTCAATTCTTCCCAAGTTGAATGCTGGTAGAGGAGCAATGTGTCTTTTAGCAATTTTGTGAAGATTTAAATGGAATAACAACAACAACAAAAAGAAATGTAACAGATCATTGAAAACAATAATGTTATAGGTAATTGAGAACTTCCACATTTTAGCTTCAATTAAGGTTGGATATGTAGCTAAGGCTTATATCTTTACCCAATCAAAAGAGTAACTGAACCCCAGTGTTGTCTACACTGTAGAGGGCAATGTTTTCTATCAGTCTAGTTTCTTGTGATGATAATTGCTATTAACTTGGATTAATTGACTATAGATGTAAAATTTTAAATCAATTTTAGAATTTAAATTTATATCTATTACCTTGACTTTCAACTTTCCCAATTAACTATGAATCATTCTGGAAAGCCATCATATTTTTACACTGAAAAGATGACAAACATCTCTGGTCCTTACCAGGTTCAACAGGATTCTGAGGTAAAGACTTTATAACTAACAATGTAGTCTTTGTTAACACAGATTATTTACAGAATCATTTTCACATTATGAAACACCAGTTCCAAATCATTCCTTCAAGTTCTTCCAGGCAATTTCAAAATAGCTAAGAGTAGATTGAAAAAAAAAAAACAGATTCAGGGAAATCAAGACTTTTTCAAAGTAGTTTCCCCTAAGTCAATCGCATAAAACTTTAAAGAAAATTCTAGGCTACCCCAAAACACCAATTTTTTTAAAAGCTAAAAGGATAGGAAAGTGAGCAGTGGGAAAATGTATTTAAAAGCTAATTCTCGGACCTCCCCTGGTGGTGCAGTGGTTGAGCGCTGGGCTGCGAAGCTGCCAGCAACCTCTGCACCACCAGTTCGATCCCCGGCCGGGGTCCCACATGGCGCACAGACCTCTCCTGCTGTGCTCACTGCTCCCCTCAGCAGTGTATTTCTAGTCAGTCTGCCTTTTCTGTTCCCCACGCTGGCTCTGGTGAATAATTTCACCCTCCTGCACTTCTGACTGTACCCAGTGCTTGTGTAAATAAATAAATAAATCATAAAAAAAGCTAATTCTCTTTTATTTTTACCAGAACAGAAATTCCTAAAGGAGTAGCTATGAAAAAATGCCATGAATATGGAATTGTATTAATTTTTGATTGACTACTCTCACAGAAGTATGAGATATCCTGCTTATTCATGTCTATGCTTCCTTTAATTTTTAGGATATAAGATTTCCAAATAATTTTAGACTCTCTTTGTATGCAAATAACAAATGCTATGACCTAGTGAAGCTCTTTTGTTTTATGTCACAACACTTGAAAAAGAAATTTTGTTTGCCCTTCTTTGAAGGAAGACAAAATAATTAAGGTGAAAATAACATGATTTCCTGCATAAATCTAGTTGTAAGGTAAATATAGTTATATCGAGTAATTGGTATAATTCAAGTCATGTTTATCGGGCATTATTGCCTCGTATATCAGGCAGTATTGCCATTTAATCCTGACATTGCCTTGGAGAGGTACATATATGTTACTATCCCATTTTACCAATGAGGAAGAGTGAAATAGTTTTTAATGTAGACTTTTAGTAAACAGCAGAAATGGAAATCCAGTCATGTCTTCATATTTTATCCATTATTCTACAGGAAAAGCAAAATTCCTTAATAAATTATTTCCAGTGCATTTCCACTTCACTTAAACCCCACTGGGTGCTTTAGTAAGCTTTCTATGTGGTATGAATGCAAAAATAATAAGGCAATTTTTGAGGAAGTAATTTAGCAGATTAGAAAATTAGTGGATGAAACAGTAGGATACAGCAGAGACTTTCTAGTTCTACATTAAACCATTCCATGTATTTGCATGCTTTACCATAAGCATGTATTA